ATTTCAATGATGAAAAGACTATAATACCCTTCACTTGTTATGTAAAATAATTAGTTAATTTTCTTACTTCACCTGTTAATTTACCAATATCGTAAATTACATCCGTTTGTCAAATAATCAGTAACATTAATCATTAATTTATTAATTTTACTTATTAATTTACTAACAACAGTTGTAAATTACAAGACTTGACAGTAATTTATAATTGATATTAGTAAATTACAAGACCCGTCAGTAATTTACAACTAATATTAATAAATTAACAAATAAAGTTGGTAATTTAATAACTGATGTTGCTGTTTATGATTGAATAACTGATGTCAAATCTTATATAATTATTGACATGTCAACTTATGTAATTTACAACTCATATTGGTAAATTAACAAGTAGAGTAAGAAAATTAACAACTAGTGATCTTGAATAACAAGTGAAGGGTATTTTAGTCTTTTTACTATTAAAATTAGTTTGACTTTTCTCTTTTAGACTAAACTAAAATTTCAAAAAAATTTTAGACCCATCAATAATTAAGTCTCTACCGTGGTCCTTAATTGAAATTCTCCCAAAATACTACTCCCTTCAATATTATCTCAAAGTATAAGATATTTTCAAATAAAATCTCACATACCAATAAACTTTATTAAATATACTAAACAATCTTATTTTTTCAAAACAAACATATAAAATTTTAAAAACACCCTTCATTTAATATATCAAAAAAGAGATATGGACATAAATTAAACACAAAGAGAAAGAGAAATATTGGAATAGACCTATTTAATGAAATCTTAATTTTATCAAAATATCTTATTTTGATATGCCAAGCCTCCTTCAAAAGTGTCTTATTATTTGAAACGGAGAGGGAGTACTTCATTAGTGAGCCAATCCAATTAGTGATTAGAAAAATATTTCATGAGAGGTGTCATGTGTTATACTAAAAAAAAAATAACTTTTAGTGACAACTTTTAGCAGCAACTAAAAATGTTGCTTCTTAAAGTTACAAATTCTATAGCAACAAATTGCATCAATGCTGAAAATGTGACATTCTGGAATGACAAGAAAAAGTCATCGTAGAAAGTCTGTCTTTCCATGGCAACATGGAAAGTTGCCATTGAACATCTGTCTTTCTGCAATGATAATATATAGTTGCCACTAAATGTCAAACAATTAGTGGTGACCTTGTAGTTGCTGCTAAATGTCAAAGTTATATTGACAATACAAAGTCACAATAGATTAGTTTTAATAGTGACAAGAAAAGTTGCTATCAAATGTCTATCTTTTTACAGTGATAAGAAAAGATGCTATTGAAAGTTTGTCTTTTCGTGGCAACACTATATGGTCACGACACAAAGTTGCCATAAATTAGTTTCAATGGCAACATTGGTTTGTCACTGCTAAAACTACTATTTAGTGGCGATAGTTTGTCACTGCAAAATCATTTCAATGGTGATAGTTTATTGTCAAAATATCTTATATTTTAAGATATTAAATTTTCTCTAAAAATTGGCATAGAGAGAGTATCTTTTTAAGAGTAGAAGATTCAAGGAGTTGTTTTAAAACTTTGAAAATTATGATATATACTCTCTCTGGTCCCTCTAACAAAGCATTTCCTAAAAGAATTCTTTCATCCTTAATATAAGGCACATTGAGTATTATTAATTACTATTTTCTAATTTTACCCCTTATTGTAAATTTAATTTTATGGCTTATATCATATATTGTGTATTCTCTCTAATCTACCTATTTTTAATCAAGGTAAAGTTGAAAAAAAATTCATTTTAAGACATACTCCCTTTGATCCTCTTTATAAATCATATTCTAGAAGGTTTTCTTGGTCTTTTATATAAGTCACTTTTTCCTTATTTTTCATAACATTTGATGCACAATTCCAAAAATACATTCCAACAAATTTTAAGAAGTGAAATATTACAATTTCCAAGAAAACTCTGCCCACCTACTGCCTTCTGACCAAAATATATGGCATTGATAACTAATTCATAGTTCTAAAAAAATGGTCAAAACCTTAATTTCTTAAAAAAAAACTACATCTCTCTAATTTCACCCTTATTAAATACCCTATATAAATACTTTGATAATGATAATTAAAATTCCAATACATCAATTTTTTTCAAAAAAGAATAATAAATAAAGTAGGGTATAGTCAAAAAAATAATTATAAAATTTATCCAATGTCCTGTATTTTGAACTAAGCAAAACTTCTAGAAAATGTTCTACGGTGTGGTTTGGAGGGAGCATCAAATTACTCTTTTTTATTTAAGGGTAAAATGGGAAAGTGAATTACTTTTAAGACAATTTTATTATTCTAGCTAGCTGACCTTAGTTTTGGTGAGTTGATTAGAAGCAACTTATAAAAATGATAGGAAGGAGTAAGTCATTGTTAACTAATTTACCTTTATAAAAATGTTAGATAAAATCTTGATTTTCAAAAAAATTTCATGCCTTTTCAATCATGCCTTAAGTGTAATAAATATGACATTTAACTTATCTAAAATACCCTAATTAATAACTCAATAAAGTAAGGGTATAATTAAAAAAAAATATATAAGTTTACTCATGTCTTATATTTTAAACTAAGCAAAATTTTTAGAAATTAAAACAACTTATATTATCATTCGGAGGGAATATTTAATATGTCAACTATCATTCCTTAATTCTAGTTAAATAGATTTTTTTTAAAAAATAATCATTTAATCCTTATAATTTTGATTTAGTTATAATTCAGTCATGAACTGGTTGAGAATACTCAATTTTTGGAAACGTCCCATTATGTTTATAGAAATGGAGGGAAATAAAGCGTTCAAGTAGGGACAATGAACAGACGAGATGTGGGTGACCATTGTGGTGGTTGGAGGGTTTTTAGGTGTGGGTTTGGTCATGGGTTCCTCTGAAAATCAAGTTCCTTGGTCGTTTGGGATTCGGAAGAAATTGATTGTGTTCCTTAGTCGTTTGGGATTCAGAAGAAATTGAGTTTTTACATATTTTAGAGTCCGGGGTACCCATTAACCTCATTTTAAAAATTAAAATTATAAAGATTAAAAATATTTTAGATTTTAATTTTAATTTTTATAATCCTTATAAATATCAATAGGGTTTAGTAATTTAAAGGGAGAATGATGATAAAATTCTATCAAAATATATAAATAATAATTAAGTCCCTCAAAATGTCATAAAATATTTTTAGGTTAAATGACTAAATTGCCTCTTGTTTAAAATAAAAATAATGGGTTTGGCTCCATTTTCTCAATTATAAATTTTTTTAAGTAATTAACAACTTTTGTTCTATGAATTGCAAAAATTGAATAAAAAATTATAACTTCCCATATGATATTTCTTTTACAATTGATAAACAAGTACTACAGATAACTAATTTTAATCACAACTTTTTTTAAATAATCTCAACTTTAATTCTATAAATAGTAAAAATTGAACAATAAATCACAACTTTTCATATGAAATTTCTTTTATTATTGAAGTTTAAGTTTTAAAAATAACCAATCACAACTTTTATTTTATGAATCTCACAAATTAAACAATAAATCACAACTTCTCACTTGAAATTTCTGTTATCATTGAAGTGTAAGTTTTAAAAATAATTAGTTATAACTTTTGTTTAAGCAATCATAACTTTTATTTTGTAAATCGTAAGAATTGAATAAAATCATAACTTTTCACTTGAACCCCTTATTTTTTAATTTTAAACAAGGGACAATTTGATTATTTAATCTAAAATCATAAATGTTAGAAAGGTGCATAGCTAGAGATTTCAGAGAAATTATGAGATTTTGAGAGATAACATTGTCATTTATATATTTTTAGTGAGATTTTATTATTATTTTTTCTAATTTAAAATATTAGTCATAATTTTAACATAAATACAAAACGATTAATTTTCTTTTCTTTTTTGGATGAGCATGAAAAGTCAAGAGTCTTTTTCTCTCATAATTGTAGATCGTGACTAAATTAAACTTCATCGTAGCGTGTAAACTGTAGGCAGTGGGTTGTGGGATTTCTCATCGGTCATTAATGATTTATTATGAGCAATATAAAAAAAGATAGCATAAGAAAAATATCATTAAAAAGGATAATAAACCCCAAGCCGAATTGTTGTGATCTACTCATTTAATTTAAAAAAATGATAATAAAATCTCTTTTACCATAATTTCAGTAAAGTTTTTAGGAACTTTTTTGTTATTAATGAATTATTAATGAATTTATATAAATGATCAAATTATCTTTGTAGAAAATAAAATGATGAGAAGTTTTATTTAAATAATCACAACTTTTTCTTTTTATATTCACAAAAATGCAACAGCAAATCATAGCTTCATATGTCAAATGTCTAATATTGCTATAAGGGTAATTTGATCATTTATATAAATCATTAATAGCAAAAAAGTTCCCAAGAATTTTAGTGGAATTATAGCATTTTGAGTAAACCAAATTATCATTTATATAATTCAGAGGGATTCTATTGTCATTTTTGCTTTAGTTTATTTATGAATCATAATTTGATTTGGGGTTATTTAATTTCATTTAGTACTGGCAAAAAAAATTAATTTCAATTAGCGGCTATGAAAAAAAAAACCGACATATTACCACATGGAGTATTAAAGAAAATATTGCAAAAACATATAACATGAAGCATTATTTATTCATATAATTACTATCTATATATCTAAGCAAGTGAGAGAGAGAGAGAGAGAGAGAGAGAGAGAGAGAGAGAGAGAGTCTGATTCACTATTTTATTCTGAACATCAAACATCCCTTATTATTTTCCAAGCAGTATTACAATAAACCTATATAGCTAAGGGATGATAAACTGTGGGAACCACACAAAGATGGTTTTTTTCTAGTGGCATTGTTACCAAAGGTTTCCTCCATGTCCAATTCCTCAGGTTTCATCCCATCCGAAAGCTTCCAATCAAAATGGTAAAGCAATTTGGCGATAGCCAAATCAAGAACTGCATAACCAAATGCTATTTCAGGACATATCCTCCTTCCAGACCAAATGGAATGTACTCATGATCCATGCCCTAAAATTGTAGTCACTTGAAGTATCAAGGAATCTTTGAGGTTGAAACTTGTCAGCTTCTTTCCAATACTTTGGATCTCTTCCAGGAGTCCGAGCATTGACAATAACCCTAGACTTGCAAGGTATCTCATAACCATTGATTTCACACCTTTCACTGTTTTCTCTCAGAACTAGCAATGGAAGAGGTGGGTGAAGCCTCAAGGTTTCTTTGATCACAGCATCTATGTATTTCAATTTGTGCAATTCTGATTCTTCTATTTGTCCTTTGCTTCCAAACACCTTCCTTACCTCTGCTTGAGCCTCTTCCATTGTCTCTGGGTTCCTGAGCAATTCAGACATTGCCCACTCTAAAATTGTCGCTGTTGTTTCAGTTGCATCAAAGAACATGTCCTGTGAACAGATATTTGTGAGTGAAACTCCGATATGTTTATCTGGAAGTATTATTCAAAGAGACAATAAGACTTATTACCTGAATTATAGATTTGATGGTATCGTCAGATACGTGGATTTCGAGGTCGTTTTCCTTCTGGATCCTGAGAAGAACATCGACCAGATCCTCTTGATATGCCTCATTAGCGTCTTGGCTTCTTCTCATATTCTTTTCTGTGTGTTCTGTAAGAACTTCTTGCAATATCGAATCACCCACTTGATGTAGCTTCTCGAGCTTAGCTTTCAGCCCCGTGATCACAGGAAGGAATTTGAGTGAAGGAAAAAGATCGGCAACACTGAGTCCAGTGGCCAGCTCCATTGTCCGCTGCATAAAGGCCACAACAGCGTCTACTTTCTTGGACTTACCAATGGAAGCACGAGCAACGATGGAATTTGCTAGTGGGAAAAAGCAGTTTATGGAGATTGATAACAGATCCTTCATGATCAGTTATGTACTTCAAGAGTGATGCTATCTCCTCTTCCCTTTATAGCTCTGAATGATTGGACCCTCTTTACAGACAAAAGCTCCAAAGTGACAACCTTTCGAAGCTGTCTCCAATAGTGTCCGTAAGGAGCAAAGCCAACATCAATTGCTTTGTAGCCAACTATGTCGGTGGCTGGAAAAGTAGGGTCTATTAGCAAATATTGATCATGTGTTTTCATAACCTCTTTGGCCATTTTGGGGAAGAGACTATGATGTTGGAAGTCTCTCCGAGTTGAAGGTGGATCAACGGACCATACTTGTCTGCGAGGTCTCTCATGGTGTGATGAGGCAGTGATGGCCCTGCCATTTGGTGCAAGTTTCCTATGGTAGGAAGCTCCATGGGCCTGGAGGAAAGGTTTTGTTGGATCTCTTGAATCTTGATGGCTTTAATATCAGAAGGAGCAAACAGAAGAAGGTGAAGAGGATGGAATATGGAATTTGAATCTCCATAATAGCCACAGAAGCTGATGGTGAATAATTGTGTGGGTTTGGTTTAGAAGCAAGTGCTCCTTTTTATACTAATCAAATGGACATATGTTGGCACTTGGTTGGACTGATCAAGGGAGTCATATCAACTTATTCTAAAGTCTCGGGTTTGATTCCTATGATATGAAGCGGGTGTCAAATAAAAATATCACAGACGTCCCTGAGTTATTTGTCCGCGAAGTCACAGTTAATAATAATAGTTCATATAACAAGGGTTTAAATTTGTCTGGAAGGAATACTCTCAGTTTTTTCAAGATATCAGGTGATTGAATTTAAAAAAATGAACGTATTTTTTTCTTCATAAAATTATTTTTAAAAAAAAAAGATAGTATATATAATTAACTACTTGTTCTACCTGTTAAATAAAATAACAACAATCAATATATATATATATATATATATTAAATTCAATTTTTTTAAATGATACGTCTTCTAACATTTTTTTTCATTCTCCTTATTTTCGATGAAAATTGAAATAGTCGACAATGCTACGTTGAGTTTACTCATTAGTTTTTATAAAATGAAAATGTACCATTCAAAAAGGAAATTATTGTTGTTGCTGCTTCTGCTATTGTTATTATTTTATTTTAAACCATCTGTTATACAATAACACGTGGAATCTCACTGCTATTAGTTATTCGTGTTGTCAAGATGCCGCCACTGAAAGTATTATGTTCCCATGTTAAAGGAAATGAATCACTTTGGCTTATTTTGAATAAGTCATCACTCCGACATGTATCATACTCTGTGTGCGCGCGCGATAATAGAAAAGAATAATTGAAAAGCAAGAGTCATCTAAAACCCAACCTACAGTTTCATGATCTATGAATTGGCCATCCATTTATGAATCTTTTGATTTGGATTATTTTCATAAAGGAACTAATTTGTGGTATTTTGCATAGGAAATGAATGATACCATTTGCAGCCAAATGGGGTGCTTTTTACTTGCATTATATCATTATGTTGAACTGCATCTATAAATGATTTTCAAAATTTGAATATTTGAATTGCATGGCTTTAATTAATTGGCTAGCATCAGTTTAATTAGTACGCAATCATGGTAAGATCGGCCCCAATATTCTAATTGTTGATATCATTAATGCATAAATAATAGGAAAAATTGCATATAGGCCTTATGGAGCTAATTTATTTATAAATAAGTTTGGCAAAATTCAGAAATCACAAGGATGTCCTTTGGGACTAGAGTATAATTTGAGATTGAGATAAAAAGACAATAATATCCTCATTAAACATATCTTGTGATAACCCTTATAAAATAAAATTAATATATATATATATATATATATGATAATTTGTTTTTGTGTGTTTATAATAAATCTTTAGACAATTATGCCAATAGAGGAAGCTAATGCAGTGGTAGCTGGGCTGGATTACTTCCATTTGGTCCCAAGTTCGAACCACAGTGAGCCTATGGGAATTCTTTTTTTTTTTTCCTTTGCTGATTTGCCTTGTAAAATCACCAAACTACCCTTATTACAATCAGATCTTTTTAAACTCTTCCTTCATTCATCAGTGAGGATTTTGGAGCCCAGAGAGAGAGAGAGAGAGTCAGTGGAGAGAGTAAAAGGGATCTTAAGTCTAGAAATTTTACTCCTCCATATACAGCAGTCACTGGCGTTAGTGACTATAGAGTTCTGTCCACCGTTGGCAGTTGGTTGAGTGTGTGAGTATGTGGCTTCCTTCTTCCATGTCGTGATGTCGTCTAGTGTGCATGCAGGCTTGAGCTGCAACTTGCTTTTTCCTCTATTCTTGGTGCTATAAAAGAGCATGCTAAACCTCATCCTTTTTCTCCTTGAATCGTTGTTGCTACTTTTTAGTTTCGCCTGTTATTATTGCCAATATGCTTGCTTCTGCTCCATCTGTTGTTGGTCAGTCAACTCATGATCTTTGCACTCTGTTTTTCTTTATTTATTTTAGATTATCAACTTCTTCTCCCTTCTTTATCCAGGTGCATGTGTGAGTATTTAAATCTTCCTTCCCTTTTACTATCACTAGTGATTGTCGTTGGAGAGAGTTGGAGACTTGTGCTGCACTGATTGCTCCGACTGTCTTTTGTGTTCTTTGTCTCTATTTTTCCTCTTCATTTTTTGCTTTGGTTCTATCTGTGTCATCACCTTCGAGTAGCATCTAGGATGAGAAACGAAGTTGCCAGAGCTGCGGCAGTGCTGTAATGAGTTTGGATTATTGTTGCTGATTCGTTTACTGTGTTCCTTGTGAGTAGCGTCCAGTTTTCTACTTCCCTATTCTGCTGCAAGCTTTTTTTTCTTCTTCTCTTCCTTTATTGTCTGTTGCTTTCTAGGTTGAGGAGGTGAGAAATTTTGAACTCTCTTATTGTTAATCTGCTGTGCCGTGAGAGTAAGAGATAAGGACATGAGTGCTGTGCGTATATGTGAAATGCAAAAAGTATAGTACGTGCGTGCTACTGTTACTGTTTGGTATGTGTAATCATAGCAACCTCACATTGTTCTGTTATTGCTCATGCTATTACGTAGGGAGAAGAAGACTAAATTTTGAGCTAGAAATCCATCTAACTTGGTAATAATATATGATATATGTGAGTTGAGGATTGGGGTTTCAAAATTTATCCCCTTGTGATTGTACGTACATGCATAAAAAAAACCAAGAGAAGAGAAAAAAAAGAAGAGAGGAGGAATTTCTATTTAAATGAATATTGTGGTTGTGCAAGGAAGCAAGACGATATTGTAGATTGAGATTTCATTTGGAAATGATGGAATTGGTGATATTGCAAGGTCTCAATGAAACTGAAAATTTAGGAAGGAAAATATCAACATTAACTTAAGCAATTATGTATGTATGTTGTTTGGCAAAATACCTAGAAAAAATTTATTTATTTATTTATTTATTTATATTCTAATAGGTGTAAAGAAGAAAGGGACCCTGACCAGAATTGAAAGAAAGAATATCTTTAAAAATTTGAAGCTCTGATGAATAAGTAAATAGCATTTCATTTAATTTATTTTTATTTTTAATAGCCTTTTTCTGAAATATTTTATTCTTATAAATTATATTAATTTTGAAAATTATGAAATATCAATAAAGGATAAATGAGTTATGATATGTGAATTTATTGATTCTTGAAAATATATGTCCAAGATGGATGAAAGTATTCTTGTATGGTTGTCAAACTTTAAAATTTATTGGATACTTAATTAGTGTAAGTTTATGATTTTGACAAATATTAAGATTTGAAACAGTTCATGCGAGTTTAGTAGTAAAGATGATATTTATTTCATAACAATTGTTTTTCTCGTATGTTTGAAACAAGATTTTAAGAGAACTCGAAATAGAAACACTGCTGCTAATGGCAATTCTATTAGCCCATAGTGCACTATAGTTAAACACTAGCTAGTTTGTTTCATGAGCTTTATTCTCACATTTGGTATTCATAGGCTTTGTACCTGCATTTGATTCTGTGACCTAAACCGTGTTTGGTTACTTACCTTTGTGGACTGAGTGTCCACGTTTGTTTCATAACTTTGGCTGCGTTTGGTTACTTACCTTCGTGGACTGGTGTGTCCATGTTTGTTTTCGTGGCATAAACCGCGTTTGGTTATTTGCCCTCATAGACTAAGTGTCCACCTTTGTAACCTGTTCTATTGAATTCTTAGAATTTTAAATGTTGATTAATATCTATTTTGAAATTTATATGATTTTGACCAGCAATTTGTATCACTTTGAGTTATAAGTGAGCAGATTGTTTTCTTTAAGTATGATAAAAATTGTTTTCAATTTACTCTTATTTTACAAATATGGTTATGATTTACATGCTTATAAATTTTGATGGAATTACTTTTAATTAGCTAACACTATTATTAGAGATTGTTAATTTAAATTTTAAGAATTTTATTATGGGAATGCTATTCACTGAAAAATTATTTTAGCCTCAAATTTGTTAGCTGATGCTGATCCCACCATCGACCTCAAAAGGGCAAAATAACTACAGTGGGTGAAAGTTTTGGATTGGTATTGTTTCTTTTAATGTAAATATATAGTTCATATGTCTTTTTGATTTAAAAGAAAGATTTGATGCTCCACATAGATTGTTGATAGACTTTGTTTTAGTTTGTATATTAGTTGCTGGCTGGAAGGAGCTACACTCCTAATTTATATTGTTATCTGTAAAAAAGATTTTATTGTAAAATTTTCGGAGATCCTAGTTACAGGAGAGGTTTTGCCGAAATTTCTACAAAAACGTCGACACTTTCTTATGATAATGAGTTTAAAGGAATTATTTAGTTCTCATGTAATTTGATTAATTTTCTTTTCTTTCTTTTGAAAAATGGAGTAAATTTTCATTCTGAGACTTACAGGAATGTGATAGTAGTTCACACCCGTACCGGTCACCCTCTATTTTTGAGGTGTGATATATATATATATATATATATATCAATCAAATAATTTACAACTATTTTATCAGTAATTTACAACTATAACTTCAACTTTTTATAACTGTAACTTCATATATCTAATAATTAAACTGATCAGTTTAACTATTGAATATATTAAGTTATAGTTGTAAAAATTAAAGTTAT